CTTCTTGAAAATTGCTGGAGAGTAGATTTCTAAGTATTCTCAGCCGCATCAAAAAAAGTTCAGGCAGTGCATGTTAATTAGCCCAATATAGCCTTTCCCACGCATGTACATATTTGTAAAACATGTTGTACGACAGTAAAGACATAGTACAAAATTTTTAGGTCAAGTAAAAAAATCTGAGGCCGGCACGGAGTGGCTCACGCCTGTAAGGTATCCCAGCACTTTTGGAAGCCGAGGCAGGACGGCATCACGAGGGCGAGGGATTGAGACCCATCCTGGCTAACACGGGTGAACCCTCCTTCTTACTAAACAAAAATACAAAAAATTAGCCGGGCGTGGTAGTGGGCACCTGTAGTACCAGCTACTCAGGAGGGTGAGGCAGAAGAATGGCATGAACCCAGGAGACAGAGCTTGCAGTGAGCCGAGATTGCGCCACTGCACTCCAGCCTGGGTGACAGAGCAAGACTCCATCTCAAAAAAAAAATCAGTTAATGTAACTGAAATATAAAAACAGAAGCTGCCCCCCCCAAATGTTTTTTATCATATATAAGTTGAACTTGACCTTTACAAATGGTCACTATTTTGCCTTGCAGAATATTCAGAAAAGGTTCTGCTTCCTAACCTGTGATGCAGCCAGTTACCTTGGAGATAACCTCCGGGGAATCGGATCCAAATTTGTCAGCTCTTCCCAGATGCTCACCTCCTGCTCTGAGTGCCCTACACTTTTTGTGGATGCCGAGACTGTGAGTATCCCAGTCCTGCTCTGACAGGGGAGGGCCTATGCAACCTACAGTGCAGAACTTCAGGGTAGCATGTTTGTGCTGTGGTTTGTTTTAAAGACACCTTCAGTGTTGTGAGCAGCGCTGTATTGTGATATGACTCCCAAAGGTCTGCAGTATAATTACTGCACATGGCCAGTCCAGGCCAACGCAGAGCGATTTCACAGAATAAGGAGAAAACTCCACCTCTGCTCCCTCTGCATCCTTGGCAACCGCTCTCTGATGACTCTGACTTTGACAGCTATGCAGATATGGTCAGATAACCTCCTGGAGCTGACCTAGGCAGTGCCCATGATGCCAGGTTGCCTAGTCAGATGGGTCTTCAGAGGCAACATGTCAATCAGTTTCCCCACCCCCAAGTCTCTAACAGGGAGTTATTGCCCTCTAGATTTGCCCAGCTCAAACTGCGAATGATGAGTTTAAAGGATAATCAAAACAGTCTCTGGCTGATGGCAAATCATGGCTTTATGCATGGAACTCTAACCGTGCGAGACTGACGAGCTCCTGGTGGGTGGGAGTTGTGTGATACCTTTTTTTTCTATCCCCCATGATATGACAGAATCATCACATGCTCAGTAATTACTGAGGTTTAGAACCAATGAGGATGTGCTTAGATTTTAAAAGTCTCTTAAGAGTCAAGTCCTTCCAAGAACCTGTTTGATCAGTAGCTGTCTTGTAGCAAAGAATACAATATGAAAAGTCATTCTGTCATAAAAGACTTAAGGTATAGATTAAATACAAAATCAGTTTGAAAGTCTTTGTGGAGGTTTGTCTTCACACTGCTTGGAGTATTATTGGGTGATGACAGTAGAAGTCATGTATAAAATGGAAACCATATCTTAGTGTGGGCCTCTATGGAATACTTGGTATGTCTTACCTGCCTATGCTAATATGGGAAAGAGTGGATATTTTCTTAGGAGGCGTGTATTATCAAGCTGGGATTCAATTGCAATTGCAGCTGATAGTTGAGCAAAATTCTAAATTTCACAGCTTATTAAAATGGATGGCACTTGTACCCCTTTTACATCACTTCTAAATATACTTCTGTTTTCTGTGTAGCTGTGCCTTTGTGTTGATACCTCTCTAGTTGTTTTAATACCAGTTATTTTCCTGTCTTTAGCTCCTTTCATGTGGACTTCTGGACAAGCTCAAGTTCAGTGTGTTAGAACTGCAAGAATATTTGGATACCTACAACAACAGGAAAGAGGCCACACTCTCAGTAAGTGTTTGTTTCTATGCATGTGCAGTCAGTTAAAACCAAATGAACCCAACCACTCTGAGTTCTTGGGAGGTGTTGTGATTAACCTAAGACATGCTCTTTAGGGAGTAGAAGGCAGACTTCATCTTTTCCCTTGTTAAGGATTACAATTCCAATTTAATGGTGGTAGGACTGTATACAATATTAATTGTATTAAAAATGGTATCTACAAAAGAGAAATTTTTCAGCATTCACTTTTAGCCCTACCAAGAAATTGGGAAAAAAAAAATGGGTATCTACTTGATATGTTACTTACCAATGTTATAACTTATCCCAGAGATTTGAAATTGGTGATTACTTCCTTCCAGTGTTAGCCTTACCCAAAACTAGCTGTGGTGAATCTCCTGTCTGTTCTCGTAGCCACTCTTAGAGCCAGTCCCCAGGGTTTCTCTTGGCCTCAGCTCTTGCTCTTTTCTTTTTTCTTTCTTCATAGATCTAGATTGTAAAATGTTAGAGACAGAAGTGATCTAGAAACCATCCATGCCGGCCACCTGTTTTCTGAGAGAGGCACAGTTGGAGGCCCAGAAAACTCAGTGGTTCGATAATAATTGTATGTAGTGTGTATTGAGCACTTCCTATAATATGCCAGGCACTATAGAAAAAGCATGGGTTTTGAAGTCAGATTGACTTGAGTCTAAATCACAGCTCAGTTATTTAAGGGTTAGTCACCTTGGATAAGTGACTTGCCATCTCTCATCTCAGATGCATCATCTGTAAGCCCTTGGTAATAATAACTAATTTGCAGGATTGTTGTGAAGATAAAACAATTATAATAGTCATGGCAGCTATCATTTCCTGAGTCCTTTCTATGTGTCCAACAACCTGCTAAGAGTTAAATCTCTTAAATTATATGGTTTAATGCTCACAACTACCCTGAGAGTTGCTATTGTTACCCTCGTTAGCTAGCTAGGAACTGGGTGGGATTGAAACCCAGAGCTGTGGGATTCAAAGGCCCGTGCTCTTAACCACATCATGATACTGCCTTGAAAATAGAAATAGTATCTGTAAACTGACCAGCACAATGCCACATAAAGAGAAGATGTTCATTGTAAAGTTACTGGTTTGGAGTTTATTGCTATTGCTGTTATTGATGTTATCTTGACCTGCCCAAGGGCAAGAGTTCTAACTTTCTACCGTAACAATTATCTTTGTCTTCTATTTCTGTGGCCTTTTACCTGCCACTGTTTTCAGGTTCTCAGTCATCACCCGGTAAAAGTAATCTTTTTATTCTGGTTGGTGAACTAATCTAGCCTTTAATGTCAAGTGTGAACTTCAGTTCCTCAATGCTCATTGTTTTCTGCTCAAAGGTTCCCTTTCACACCTGTGGTAGTTACTATCCCAGATGCTTAAGACTGGCAGGATCTCTCAGTAGCTGAGCTATTACCATAATAGCCTTCCTTATAGTGAAGGAGATCAGCCCCATAGCACATGCAGCCACCGCAGCATAACAGAAGTAGATGTGTCCAAGTCAGGTCATGTTGACCAGAATCACCCAGCCTGTGAGGAAGTATTGGTCCTGTCTTCTAACCCCAATGATATGGAAGATTTCTAGCCATAATATATTCATTTATACATAAATTAGGAACAGTGTGGTGAAACCATTCCCTAGGGCAACACAGTATAATATTGAAATTGTATTTTTAGATGACCATCACTGAACCCATATAAACAGATACTTTTAATTTCCAACAGTTCATCTTTAACCCCCAAATACGACCCTTTTCAAAAAGTCATTACAGCACAATTTCATTTTACTGTCATTAGAACTTTAATGAATTTTTCCTAACAGAATTGATACTAAAAATGTTCTCAGAACATTGCTGAATTTACCTATGTCTGCCCCTCTCTTTCTGATAACAGTGGCTTGCAAATTGCAAGGCAACATTTGCAGGAGGATCAAGAGATGGAGTAATTACCTGTCAGCCAGGGGACTCCGAAGAAAAGGTAATAAAAGCCTGTTAGAATGGGTCTCTTGTGTGCTCTGACATTGTGTGTTAGTTTTGGTCCACCCAAGAAGCCTGGAACTTGAGAAAAGAAGAGGCAGAATGAATCACCCCAAACATTTACATGAAACCAACAGAGTAAGACAGAATGACATTCCAGCATGACTGTGTGTTGATGGGATTTTGGGGGGTTTTCTTCGTTTTGGAAAAGTAGAGATATAAAATAACCTTTTTTTGCTGGATACTGTCTAACTATACTAATAATTTCCTAATAAATTTATTCTTAATTCAGATTATAAAGCCAAATTTCATTAATTCTTCACTGAACCACTTAGTTTCTTTAATGAAGGAAGTTTCTCTAGACCTTCCAGCAGTCACTGTAAAACAGATTTTCTCGTTTAGAATTGCTACACACCTCAGACCAGTGTGCCATACTATAAAGGAAATTAAAGGACAGAGTAGGAATGGATGAAAATCATTCTTTCTGCAGTTACATATTGTGTGCCTCCTGTATGGCAATCATGAGCAACTGACAAGGCCTCTGCCCTTGTGGAGCTTCTGATCTTGTCAGCGAGACAGACATCAGTGAAACAGTCATACAACTATTAACTGCAACAAGGACCATCAAGGACAGGAAAGAAGAGGAAGCTGAGAGATCACAGAGCAAGGCGGCCTGATCCGATGGGGAGGGCAGTTCTGGGAAGGGTTCTCCATGAAAGTAACATCTTGGCAGAGATCTAAAATATGAGATGGAGAGAAGTGGGCCTGTAGTCCGTGTAAAGGCCCGGAGGCAGGGAAACCAGGCCTTTCCAAGAACCAAGGAGAGCCCATGTGACTGACAGCACCGAAAGCCCCGTGGAGAAACGGTTGAGAAGAGTCTGGAGAACTTGGCAGAAGCCAGCCCATGCAGGGCTTTGGTGTTTAACAGCAATAATAAGCAACTGAAAAGGGTTAACAGTGGCGATGATTAGATCAAGGCTCTCCCACTCTGTCTACTATGGAAATAGCTCAAAGTGGCAAGAGTGGTTAAGGGAACTTAGGAGGCTGCTGCCCCATCTAGGGAGAGAAGGTGTTACCTCGGAATTATGTCATTACTACTGGAAAAGTGTTTTACGTGGCACACCCTCTGGATGATCTGAAAACATCTTCCTGTGTTAGAAACAGTACTTCATTACGTAAAAAGAATCCAGTAAAGTCTGGTTTCTGATCAGAGTTTTGGAGTGAACATTTTCAACCAAACACCAGTGGTTCCATTTCAATTTGGTGTTTGTTATTGAGCAAGTTTGCAGCCCTGAGAGTAACACTGTCCATGCCAGCATTGATTGAGTCCCTAGGCAAGCCCCTTGATAAGTTTTAGTGAAGAGATCAGAGATTGAAAAGCAAACTATAAAGCTGACTATAAAATCAGTTTTAGTGAAGAGATCAGAGATTGAAAAGCAAACTATAAAACTATAAAGAGATCAGAGATTGAAAAGGAAAATATCTAAAGAGGGCATTGAAGTAGAGGTTGCATTTCCACATTGCTGCCCTTCTTGAAGATGCACATTTATATCTCACTTTATGGTTTACAGAGCACTTTCACACCCCTTAAGTCAGTTGATCTCTCTGGATGGGAAGCAGGGCGGTAGCATTTGCCCATTCTATAGCTGAAGACACCACAGCTTGACTTATCCAAGGCTCCATGGCTGAGAAGTGACAGGCAGAAATGTAGCTTAGACATAAAGTCTGTCAACATAGGCAAATAATAACTAGTTTGCATACATTTTTAAAATAAGTGTTTAATGACTTATATAATGTCTCCCATAAGCAAAGCAGAATTGAAATATGCTGTTCAAAAATCGCAATAAACTCCGGCATTTCCCTCAATCCCTATATATGCATCTGTGACGTCATGTCTCAGATGATTTGTGACTTAGATTTTCACTGAATAACCTGTGCCATTAGCATATCCCAGAAGTAATACATTTTAAAAAATAAAGTATTATCTAGGTTTCAGATTTTATGGCCACCCAGTAGTACTCATGGCTTGTCATTCCAGCCCAGCCCTCCCTTCACTATAATCTGCTGTTAAGACAGATTCAGGCCAGAGAACAGTTACCAGGTTAGGATTTACTTTGAGCATAAATCTAATCTGGCTTATAGTCTAGTTTGTATAGTAGTATGTAAAACACAATTCGTTTTCTGAAAACTTGGCCTCAATCATCAAATTCTATTTTATTCTCTATAACAGAACCTCAGACAGGAAAGTGCATTGATGCTTTGCAGATTTCTATGAACAAGGGTTGAAACCAAATCTATTATGTATTTGTTTGTTTGTTTATAGCTTCCTGGTTAACCCTAAAGGATAACCAGAAATTCCAGTTAACCTATCCTGTTTCCCAAACATTCCAACTTTAAAATATGTATTTCTGTTGTGCTTGTGATTTATTTCTATTAAGTTGTTTTACTGAGTTTTAGTTGCTCCCTCCTTTTTACCTGGTTCTTCTTCACCTTCTTCAAACAAATATCTATCTTATTTTTGCTTATTGTTTTTTACCCATTTCCTATTCATGCACCTCTTTCGTTGCTTCTATTTTGTAGTACTTTTTCCTCTCCCTCTCTTTTGTTGTGTTTTTACTAAACCCAAGGACTCAAAAAATAGACTTCATCTATTTATTCATTTGTTTAGATGTGACAGCTCTGTTAGCATTACTATAAAGGCTTGAGAATACAAAAGTCGAAAGAAGAAACTAATGTTTTTGAGTACTGTACACATGTAATCTCATTTGATCCTTTACAACAATCCTTTGAAATCAGGGTTTTTCCATTTTGCAGCTAAGAAAACTGAAGCTGACAGACAAAGTCTAAAGGCCATATTCTTTCCATTTGTCCACACTTTCTCTAGCTTAATTTTGGAGGCAAAACATACACATGGGAAAACACTCAAGAATAATTTCCAGCATATGTCTAAGTGTCTAATATGGCTTTAGGAATCTGCATGAATAAGGAGGGAAGATGCATAAAACCCCCAAGAGGGATGAGAGTGGGATTTACTAGGAAAGCAATAATGGAAGGGCAAATTCTGAGTCTGGTGCTTCCAACGTTTTTGCAAAAACCAACCAAGCTTTGGCCCCATTGTCGGTATTAGCTCAGTGTTTCAGAATATTTCCAAATGGCTCCTGGACACACTGGTGACCAGAGAACTCAAGCAGTGACCGGATGTCCTAAGGAAGATGCTTCCAGGCCTACATGTGTAACAATTTTGGAGTCTGTGGTTGATCTGGAAGGCAAAGTATATGCCACCTAACAAAAGAGGTTAGCAATCCTAGCAAGTCAGGCAAGGCAGGGAGATTTGTTTAAGTCATCTGGATACTTGGTTACAGTCTCTGTTTTAATTCGTTAGTAGACCCTGGAAGTAGTCTGGCCACTGGGCATGCAGCTCAAACCTCACACTTTCTAATTCCACCAGCCTTGAGGCATGGCTAGGCACCATGCAGAGTACACAAATCAGGCAGCCTCGGCTCCCATCATAGGTAACATTCAACAAGGCCGGAAATGGGCTGTGAGAGAAAACTGAGGGAAAAAAGTCCTTACACACGAAAGGTGGGCCTTGAGGAGAAATGATTGTGTCTTTCCACTTAAATATCAAGATCTTATATCTAGAGATGTGGAGATATAATTTTGCTGACTAGAGCTACCATTTGGCCTCCAACCCAAAACAAAACCCAACCAATGTCTGGCCTCAGAGCACTGCTTAACTTACCTCTAAGTCATTCTCTCCAACACTCCTGTGTAATCAGGTTCTCTGTCTTCTGGAATGATTTGATGTTGCCAGTTACTCTGAGCACACCCTTGCCTGAGGACAGGTAGAATGTGGATAAGTGAACTTATAACTTGCAGAATCTGTGTCTGGATATAAATAGCAATGTGAATATACCGATAATTATTACTCATATCTGTTCTATTTCAGAGAAGTGTGCACTTCATGAAAGGATTAGTGCTTACCCGACTAAACCTAGAAAAGTAAATTCTTGAATAAAGATATCAGTCTGTCAGAGATGGTGACAGTGTACAGACATGCATATGAAAGCTTCTCAACCCCCAAGCCCTACCTAGTCTGGTCCGGTCTTTGCCAGTAGAAAATTCCTAGTCATTCTTAACAGGTGATTTAAGTGAGGATTGCTGTAGAATTGTTTGTGGAAGACAATATATCTCTTTGTTGGGTGCTGAATATTTATTTTTCCAATTTTTCTTCTATTCTTAACATAAAGTTGCAGACATAAAAATAATGAAGAAAGCGTATGCACTGGTGGCTTGTGAACTATAACCAATTCACAGACGTGTTAAGTTTGCACACTATTAACTGACCTTGCATTTAAAAATTTTAAACTTCCACACATACGGCCAGGCACGGTGGCTCACACCTGTAATCCCAGCACTTTGGGAGCATGAGGCGGGTGGTTCACAAGGTCATGAGTTCAAGATCTTCCTGGCCAACGTGGTGAAATATGATCTCTACTGAAAATACAAAAATGAGCCAGGTGCAGTGGTGGGCGCCTGTAATCCCAGCTACTTGGGAGGCTGAGGCAGGAGAATCACTTGAACCTGAGAGGCGGAGGTTGCAGGGAGCCGAGATTGTGCCACTGCACTCCAACCTGGGTGACAGAGCAAGACTCCATCTCAAAAAAAAACCAAAAAAACAAAACAAACTTTCACACATACACACACACTCAAAACAGAATTCCTGGTGTCTCTAAATAAGAAGATCTAGCAACACTGGGCCTGCCTTCCTCAGTGGCAACAAGGAGCCAGCACTAAGTATAGACCTATATGGACTCTCCACCATCCCTCCTGCCCAGTGAGTTCCTAATGCTCAAGGCAGGAGCCAGGCACCAGTCATCATGATGCTTGGCCTGTTGCTTTTCTTATAACAGAAAAATATTTCTCTGTACCTAAGTCTCCAAAGTGAAGAATAAAGCTAGATAGAAAGGGCTTGAGTTTCCAAAAAGAAAACAGGAAAGA